TGATGCCTGCTTCTACTTAGTGTGGGATGTAGCTACAGACCACTTCTACATACCTCTTGCGAGACATGGAAAATATATTTTTAATTCATAAAGCATTTATCAAACTTAAAGCCAATCCTGTTTATGCCATTCTTTGAAAATTGTATGTCAACCCAGGAGTGAGTGACTCAAGATGTTCATCCCTGGTCTAGTCTGTTTTTTCCATGGAGTTCAGCTGAGAGAAGCTAGCAACAAGCCAGCTATGATCACAAGCAGGTGCAGTAGAATCTGTACCCGAGTGAGTAGTTCCAGATTAGTGTTTGGTAGTGCAAGTGCAGGGTGTAATGTTGGTACTGCTTTTCTGCTATCAGGAGCCAAGTCAGGACTTCTGTGGCTTCAGCTGTGACATAGAAATGTACCAGTGGTGCTTTGCCATGGCAGTCCTTCAGTGTAGAGAACAGACAGCCTTCTTGAGAGTATTTCAGCTTTGCTTATTGATGACAAAATATGTTCAAGCCAGAAGAGCTTTCCTTCAGCTACTGATTGCGTTTTCTTGGTGGCTTTTAAGATGATTGGAGGTAATGATCTAGAAGGCTGGGCATTGCTTTTATGTGTTGAAATGTTATGGCAGGAGGCTGGTTCTAGCTCCAGAGTGAATGGGCTTGGGACCAGAGGAGAGTTGGTGCTAGATGGTTAATAGGTGGCTTTTTTCTACCATTCTACACTTTTAAGAGTTATGTCAGCCCAATGGTACAAAGCAAGACTGAGATCATATTTAAGTTAGTACAAAGTTAGGGTCATTGTATTGGTATCAGTTACTTGGCATGTATGCTGGCAGAGTAGAAAGAGTTAACTTTAGTAGTTGGTGAACTAGTTGTTTAGGGGAAAAAGTTCATCTTAGAATGTTTGGAAAGAGAAGTAACTGAGGAAGTATTAGTCATTCCTTGTGCTGTGCATAAAGCAAGTCATAATTTTTAAGTATGACAGGATTTTAGTTAGACCGTGTAAAAATAGTGTCTTGAATACTGAAATAAATTAAACTTGTTTTTGGTGTAATATATTATGTGCTCACCTGAGATGGTATAACATTTGGAAAAACAAACTCAAATTGCGAAGCAAGTGAATTAAACAGACTCCTTTACTATAATTATTTGCAGTTTTGTGTACGCAGTTGACCTCCTACTTAGTGGTGAGCTTTAGGATTCCTAAACAACTAGATTCAACCTCTGATTTAACAGAATATTTATTTTTTTCCAGCCCTCTAATTCTCCAGCTTCCTGGAGAAGTAGGAAAAGCTTTTTCGCAAGCATGTGCCATTTCCTTTGCCAATCTCATCTTTGCCCATTTCTTTAGTAAGTGGTTGTTACGGTTTCTCTTCCCTTGTTATTGGCAGGGAATTTTAGGAAAAAGTCTAGGGCAGCAACTCTGCTTTACCTAGTGCCCACCTGGTACCACAGGGCCAGTGGGGAACTGGTAGAGTAGCCTCGGTCTATGTAGAAGTGAAGTAAATAGACTCTGCTCTCTGAGCTTCTGCTCCTCCAAACCAATGCCATACCAGTTTGGAGGGAGCTCTTCCATTTTCCTCTAACATTTATTTGAAAATACCTGCCAGAGCAGAGGACCATTTCCTTCCAAAGATGCATACACATGTAAGAAGGACCAGTATACCACATAGCTCCTCCCAGTTCAGACCCTGAATTTCCCTTTCTGTTCATGCCTTATCTTTTGCTTATTCTCTATCAGCTGAGGGCCAGTTATATTTGTGAAAGTAAACCAAACTAACATTCTTCACCAGACCTTTGTGCTGCACAAGTGAAAAAGCAAATCTCTTTATGCTCTGCCTCATCTGGCAAGCTGCATTCAAACACCTCACAGCATCCTGAAGTCCTGGTGATGGCACCGCAGCGGGTAAGAGCTGCTGTATGTCAGCAGAAAAATAAGTTTGCTATTTTCACTGCACTTTGTATGTGGTATTTAGAAATAAAAATAAACCTGAACAACACATTTTGAACCTGGGGAAATCTGCTGTCTCCCTTTTAAGGGTTAATATCAAATATCAGTGCATAAAAATATTAGTCTTGGATTTGGTCCTTGTCTGAACAGTGTGGATTAGGCATCATGGAAATGGCAACAAGTGCCGTACTAGGCAGTGTTATAGTTAATGACAGCATCTTCATTCAGCTGTTTAGTCATCACTGTGACAGCACTCCTTTCCTCATTCAAAAAATCAGAAATCTACCCTCAAAAAGAAGTCTTTAAAAAGAAAGTGAAATTGCTTTTATTTTATTTTTTTTTAATTGCCTTCTCTCATTTTAGTCTTCCTTTGCTTGAATCAAATATGTGATAATTAAAATATAGCTTATTTTCTTGCATGTGATTTTTCTGGCTGTTGCAGGAGGTTTTGTCAGGAGGCCTCACTGGTGCTAAGTTTATCTTGTAAAAGTTTGGTCTGCCTGTGTGCTAAGGCCACCAAATATACAAAGTTCTCACCTGGAGGCTGCATGAATGCAGTATACTCTGCCAACAGACAGGATATTTTAGCTATATCAGTCTTTATGCGAGGCCAAAGCACAGGTTCTCAGTAGAAGAGATCGGTTCTGCCTGCAGAAGACTTGAGATGGAGTTTCTTCTGTGGAAAGCATTGTTCAATGGTGGTCGGCCTCCTCGAAGCTTTTCATAAGAGGGTAACTTTGGATGCTGGAGTGGAATTTAACAATAGTAGCTAATGCTAATAGCATTATTATGGAAATAAGAGCAACCATTACCTGCTGCATATGGGTTGAGCAGAGGGTGATGCAAAGCCATGTTGTGTATGTGGTTACAGAACGACCTAATATTCTGAAGTCTAAAAAATTAGACTGGCAGGTATTTGAGATTGTCTTGCTGTTAAAGGTTTTCTGTGTATGGTTTTTAGATTACCTTTCCCTTCAGTATGATGAATTACAACTACCCTCTATATTGATACATACATATAAAGATCTCTTTCCCCCAACAACATAAGATCAGCTTTTCATGTCATACTATTACTCTGTGTGAGAAAAAGGGGATGGATGCAGGTAGGGGTTAAATTTTAATCTATATAGATGGTGGTGAAGAATAACAAAGACTTTTCACAATCACTGAAATAGTGGCAAAAACACAGGCTAGGAGATGATACAGCTATACCAATGTCTTTGCAGACAATAAATATGGTAGAGGAACAAGTTCAAGTTCAGAAAGATATGCAATTCTTGGACAGTGGGTTTTGCTTATCTTTAGTACAGAAATAAACAAGACTTTCTAGTCTTCAGTGAAATCTCAAGATGAACTCATTATAGCTTTTGACTAACAAAACAAATATGGGAAGTTGGGGATAGCATACAGTGCCAGAGCTGAATACCTGCTCTGTCACCAATGCTATTTCTTGAGGCAGTGACAGATTCAAAAGCTTTTTATCTTTACAAAGCACAGGTTTGCAGAAGGTCAGTAGGCTGAGAAAACTTGCATTTTGTTACTTTAATTGATGTTTCAAAGTTGGGTTTGGTGTTTTTGGTGTTTGTTTTTTTTTTTTTTTTTTTTTTTTTTTTTTGTGCCTTGCTTTCCTGTGTCCCAAACTAAGTTTCAGCTTTATTTTCTTTCAGCAAAGAACATTGCAAATGCTGAAGAGGTTTTTGATCTGAATAAACTGAAGGCAAAATAGTCAGTGCAAGTTTATAGGTATTTCAGAGCCTCTGTGTGGAAGAAATAAGAAAAGCTACAAATACTCAGCTCTAGAGGAATGAATAAAAATGCAAGAAGTTCAGGATAGTGAAAATTGATCAGTCCATCCTTTGTATGGTATCCCACAGTGTTGCTAACTCAAAGTTAGCAGTGAGTAATTTAAATTTAAAAATGCCTCTGTCAACATTTTTCTACATAATGAATGGTAATAATGTAGTTTTTGTTTCATAAAGCAGAGGTTCCTTTCCTAATAATTTATTCATGAGGGAATTGAAGAAGACAGACTATAAAGCTGTGAAAGGATAACTTAGTCATTGGAGTCTACTGCTTACAGAAGGTCACAATAAAGAGTGATAGCTGAGTTTACAAATGGTTTGGAGACATGTGTATGTCATTCTCCTAAATCTGAACTTGTTTTAAGGGGAAAGAAACTCTTTTGTTGCTCTTACCATTTTTCCGGAGCTGTTCTATGCATTTTGGCTCTACTTCTCTTTTGTGATGGTTGATGAGTTGATGGTCCGTTTTGGTGTGATGAACCACCTCGATGCCAGCTGACTCTAAGAGGGACTGTCACTTTCTCAATGTTGTTTTCTCTGCTTACCCCAGTTACTTAAGTTATAATGCTGAAAGGAAGCAAATGCTTGTATTTTGCAAAACATAGTGAACCTGTTTCTGAGCAATTTAGGAAAACCTGTGCTGGTTGTGATGAAACACCTTCTGCGTGTGTATGTGAGTAGCTTTCAGTTGAAGAAAGGATATTTTGCAACATCTCATGGTTATCTCAGAATTTCCAGTCAAGGAGCTGTCACTGAGTTACACCTTAGCCTGTTTACTTTTTAACATAAATTTAGTGCAGGCAAATATAAATTTTATTTTCACAGGGTCTGATTATATATAAAATTACCCAGTTGTTCTTTGGTTGCTTTTCAAACAGGGACTAGGGCTTTGCGAACTTCTGGGTATAATTTTGAAATCTATCAATCTACACCCCTCCCAAACTGCATTTCTCTCATTTAAAAAAAAGGAGGGGGAAGATTACATATGATAGTGGCTTATAAGAGTCTGCTGTTTTAAAAAAAGGGAGGGCGGAGGAGGGGAGGGGAAGAAAAAAAGCAAATCAAAGTGTTTTTTACTTCTCCCTTTTCTGGCATAGGATACATTTCAGATATCATTGCAGTAATTTTCCCCTCAATTCCAGTTTTAAAATTATGACAGATTATGCTCAAGTATATTTTTCTGTATTTGTATTTCTGTGAAATTTACTATTTGAATGGGGATTAATACCAGTTGTCTTTTATTCGGTTGTCTTATTTTTTTTTGAGTGTGAATCTGCAACCTTAAATGTGGAACAAAAAGAATTTTCTGCCTTATGAAGCCCAAGAGCAGATGTTGCAATCCTTACTTGCCTACACCGAGTAGTAATTATTCAAATAAGCCTGTGCTGGATACTCGTGTAAGTAACTATTCATATGTAACTTGGTTTCTAGTTTCATGATAAAGCAACAGCAGCTTCAGCAGAAAAAACAGGGTAAGGAGTTCTCCTTTTCTTCTTCCTTCTGCACTGTTTCTGCTCTCTACCCAGAGCTGCAGCATGCTGCTTGTTCACTTACTCCACTGCAGCTGTTTGCAGGGACACATTTTTAATTTGGTAAGCAAATGGATCTAATGTAATTAAAAAGAAAAAATATCTGGAAGAGTTACAGATTTGAGTCAGAATTCCAAGATACCTACTGTGTACTTAAAATTGACCCTTTTTTTTTAAATTGAATTAGTGAATATTACATAATTTTAATTAATGTACTGCACTACGTGATATATTTTCAATATTAAATATGCAGACCTGGAATTGCTACTGGTTTGGATTAATGGACCCAAAATCTGAAAAAGAGCAGTCAGGCAGGATGCATGAAACCCAAGTCAGAAAGCTGAGAATGCTGATTTCTTAGAGGGATTCTGTCTTGAATGTCAGCCCATCAGTTTAGCGTTAAGACTTGGCACTAGGTAAATGTTACCATCACTAAGGAGGGGTTGGAACTCAGAAAACAGAGTTCCAGTTTGATTTTATTTATGCTTTCAGACACAGACAAATGTTTTCTATTGGTGTTCATTTTATGACTGTTGTGATAAGTATGTTTTTCAGAATGCCTTTTTTTCTCCTGAACCACTCTATGACTGTGTTACAAAGCTTTGTGCCATATAAAGTGGCCATTCTTTAATGTATTTGGGTCATAGAAGATCTGATCAGATTGGGATGCACTTTCTCTTTTCTACTCACTAGAACTTGCACTGGGACTTTCATATGTTTATTCAACTGTTTGAATGTTACATGTGTTTACCAGCTTATGGTGACTAATTGTTTCAATATACAAATGCAATCCAGGAGCTGGGAGTGGGAACCAGGAGATACATGGGTAGTGTTGCAACTGCTGGGGTTACCTCATCACTTAAAGCCTTTGTTTTCTCCAGTGAAAACCAGGCAAGGTGGCATGCATAAGAAGCTCTGTCTACAAGTAAAAACTTACTTTGTATGTCTTGACCAATATTGACTTAGCAGATTTATCTTAACAGTTGTTTTAGTTTGTCTTGAGGAAGGTTGTGGTGACTTCACGGCCATAAGCGTGGATACTTTTATAATGTGAAGATGGATCGGTGCAAGTTGATGCAGTCTTTTTGATACTTAAAGTTGAGAATGTTTTCCCACCCTAAAAAAAGCTGAGAATCTGTAACTCTTTCTGATTTCAGCCAAAATTCTGAGTACTCGGCATCTGTGCAAATTAGATCATATTTGTTATCATGTAACTAATGTTGGCAGGGAACAGGGCAAGTCCTTGGCAGGAGCGATACAGTGAAAAGTTTAGATGGGTGGCTACACAAAGCTCCTGCAGCTGTTTATGACAAGATAACAACATGTCATGCGAACAGCTTCATGTCCTGAGCGATTATCTGGGAACAATGGAATATTTTTGAGGGGAAAATTGCAGAGAATTTCTAAAACTGTACTGAAGAAAAGGTAGTGATGTATAGGTTTGATAAGAGGTAAGGGTGGCTGTTCTCAATGGAGTATTGCAATTTTGGAAAGGAGCTTTCAGAATAATAGGTGAGGGTTCAGTTGTCCTGAGCCTTATTTATGGAAACAGAAATGTGGCTGGAGCCATTAGCTTGGAAAAGACCCCAAACAAAACAGGTTTCTGTGACCAAATGCAGATTCAAAGGCTGATCTTCTGACCCGGAAAACTGGTTCTAATCTGCAGAGATCTCCATAGCAGAGATGTAGCAACCAGGTACAGACATTGAGCAATTACATTATTGACGTTTTTATTTTTTAACACTGATTTTTGTCAAAAGGATTTTTTTGTTTCATGTAGAATGTTAATGTGACCAAAGAGGGCTGGTAGGGAAATGAAATATTTTAGCATTATCAGTATTGAGATTTAAAATCAAAGCTAATTTTGAATCCTTCTTGTGGTCTCTAGTGTAGCACTATGAGGATCTCTGAGATCATTTTCTAAGATGGATAATAATTGTGGTTTTAAGTGCCAACGGCGAATTTGTACTATAGAGAACGGAAGGATTGTTTTGAGTGGGAGAGCTTGTGATGAGAACCCTTGTAGTTTTGTGTGCCACAAGCTGGTCTGAAAGTTAATACTGACTTAATTCTTTGAACAATTTTCAGTTCATGGTAGTATCTTTCTTTCTGCAATTACCTTTAAAATTGCCAATTTATTTTTAGAAGGGCAATAAAACAGAATTAGGTTGTTTTAGTAACTAAAGAATGCGCTCAACACAATTATTACTGAAAAAAGATATGTCTCCTTCCTGGGAATGCAGTGTGACAGATGACCAACAAAATGTATCTATGTACGTGCATCAGAAGAGGAGAAACAAAAAGAGATTATTCATAGTAATCACCATTTCCAATCCTATTATAGTCTTTTACTTATGCATCCTAACCTGGTCATATTTTGTAGTTCAATGTAAATCATTCATTTTTCAACATACAGAGCTGTACCTTGGAGGGGAAAAAAAACAAAAAAACAAAACAAAAAAAAACCAAAACAAAACAAAACCCCAAACCTTAACATTTAAAGCCGTGAACAGCTACATCCAGCTGTGTGAAATGGCAGGAATGTGGGACATGAAAGCTTAGTTGGCCAAAACAGGGAGTGGAACATGGTATCAGGACTGGACTAGAAGGCAAAGGGTGTCATTTCATGTACTGTCACAACAAATAATGACATGTTTAGGTACAAAGCAAAAGGAGAGGCACTAAAGTGAATTTGTTTAATGTTATTTAAACTTTCCTTTTGTAAGATTATGTTGTGCAGAGGCCTGGGGCTTTTCAAGCTTGTCTGTACAATACTGTGAAAAGCATTATTTTGTCCATGCTGAAGTTATGTTACCTGCGGAGAAAAATGTACATACATTTCCCTGCTGAATTTTGAAACACGCTAAGTAGTAAAGAGGTGCATAAACGAAGCCTTGTGAGAAATTATAAAAGTTGTGGGGCTTTTCCCCATAGGCTGGAGGGAAACTTCCTAGTCATACAGAGACGTGCAAGTGATTATCTAGGGCTTTGGCTTGGGTTATCCCCCCACTCCCTCCACACATAGACACACTTGGGAAGATACTTGTAGTCACTGGTGCTTCAGCAGATACTGCTGTTCCTTCTTCAGGACACGGCCTGAAGTATCTAGCCCGAGCTGCGGCTGAGATCTGGGCCGGCAGCGTGCCCTGGCTTCGGAGCATGGCTCGAGGCGAGGGCCGTGCCCAGCACAAAGCTGGCGAAGGGAAAGGTAATGGGGTGCGAGGTGGAAAAAAGGTTTCTGGAACAGCTTCTCCAGAAGCTCCGCCGCACCTCTCATTCCTGCCTCTGTGCCACCTCCTGCGCTGGGTCTGTGCAGGCAGCAGTCAGTGGTGTGTGATGAAATGTCTGGCTGGATCCCCCCCGTAGCCCGCTTCCCAGCCCGGCGGGAGGAACACGTGCACCCACGCAAGGCAGAGTGGCACGTTGGGGCGGCAGCGAGCAGGCGAGGGAGGAGGTCAGCTGTGTTTAAGCTGGCATCATTGCAAAGAGCAGAGGGATTGACTGACAATGTCTCTGGCAGGACCCTGGAGCTGGATTTGCAAGCAGAGTAACTGTGGGTGCGTTCGTGTTTATGTACTCCTAAGTCTGTCCTACAGGTATCAATCACGGTGTAAAACTTTAAAGCAGCTTGACATTACTGAGTAACAAGAACTGTCAGAAGTGAAGTACTTAGATTGTTGATGGTCAGCATGAAGTCTTTCTAAATAGAAGATGGAGGGCATATACTTAGGACTTCCTGAAAAATAAGTTTTAATTCTATGTTCTCAAATTGACAACTTCTAAATGATCATTTGTGTCTGAAATTTTTCATTAATGTAATTGCGGTGAATTTTCAAAATTACTTTTACTGATCCTTGTTCAATTTGTATATCAAACATTTTTGCAAATTGCATTTACATATGCATAGCAATTAACACTTTGATACACATTAGGACTTTGTGGTGAAGAGCAGTTGTACACTGCTGTTTGCCTGGAGCACATTTTGGACTTCTCACCCATATTTTCTGTGACATAGGCTGCAGTGTCCCTTATTTCATCCCAGTCGGGTACAGCTTTTGACTTCCTGGGAACGTGCTGGTGCAGCTCTCAGCTGAGCAAAGCCTGAACTTCCTTGTCTAATAATTAACTCCTGTAAACTTCCAGATGCTTAGGGTGAGCTCCAACTTCCAGTTTAATTTATAAGTAGAAGCTCTTTTTACTACCGAAATCTCCAGCCCTGTGATCCTCCAAAGATATCATAATGATTTATTCCTCTCATCTTCACAGGAACTGATATTCAATGGCTAGAAACAGAACTGACAAGTGGCTGAAATGAATACGACTATCATCCTACAAGAGATTTTGATTAAAAGATCACAGCAGAAGAAGAGGACTTCTCCCTTAAACTACAAAGAGAGGCTTTTTGTACTTACAAAGTCTATGCTAACATATTACGAAGGTCGAGCGGAGGTAGGAGACACAGATTTATACTATAGAAAGCCTTTGTTCCTTTTTGCTTTTGTATACTCTTGGCTTTTTTCCTGCCGTATATCATACTGTCAGGAGCGGATGGGGGCAATGGTCATGGGTGCCACTGAGCATGAGCTGCTATTTCTTTTTTCTCTTATAACACAGATTGACAGAGGCATAGATAACTTACCTGATAGTCAAAGTGAACTGGTTCTTAATCAGAGCAGTAGTACATAGCCAGGATGCCAGAAATAAGATAAACCAGTTCTTATAGCTGTCCATCAAAGTTGATTTCTTTTTCTCTCCAGAGAGATGAAAGATTACTGCTACCACAAAGTGGGGAAAAGGTAGAAGAACTTAAAATTGTAATTGCTCGTGACCTTGTTTACTGTGAAGGCCATTACTTTCACAGGACAAAGAGCATTCGATAGGAGCAGTGCATTGCAGACCAAGCTCACTAGAGGTGAGATCCATTAAAATGGGTCACGTAACCTGGTGATTGAAATGAAGCTAGAAGCAGTTTATCTTTGACAGCATGAGCCCCTCATCCCTGTTGCCACTTTCTGTGTAAATTGTTACACCAGAAATCAATAGTGTAAACTAGTCAAATCCTCAGACCATCATTTTTTCAAATGAGCTCCACTCAGTTTCATCAAGGTAACCTGCCTTCAGGGTGCCCTGTCATATCTTTAGTGCTGGGGGTAAGATTTTCCACTTAACTGAGGCTACTTTCCGGATTTGTCACTGTGCTGAAGGGGATTAAAATGGCTGCAGTGGCTAGTGAAGCATGCTCTACACCCTGGGAAGCCATTCAACAAATAAAACTTAATGGAGACAACTCTGCAACCTCTTGTGTCAGCTGTGTTACTTCTGATTAAAGAAGGGGGTATAGGAGAGCTAAGGCTTGCTTTTCTAAGCATGCTTCTCTGCCAGCGCTTCTGCCTGAAGCAGTATTGAGCTCGCTTACCATGCTTCAAGACCATAGCAGTCTGTTGTAGCTGCTGTTCTCTGAATATAGTTTGGGCACAGTCACGGATTAAGAACGGGATCATAGACTGGCTGAGGTTGGACGGGGCCTCTGGAGGTCAACTGGTCCAAGCCCCCTGCTCAAGCAGGGCCACCTACAGCTGTTTTCCCAGGACCATGTCCAGATAGCTTTTGAGTATCTCCATGGATGGAGACACCACAACCTCTCTGGGCAACCTCTGCCAGTGCATGGTCACCTGCACAGTAAAAAAAAAAAAAAAAAAAAAAAAAAAGTGTTTCCTGATGTTCAGATGGAGCCTCTTGTGTTTTATTTTGTGTCTATTGCCTCTGGTCCTGTCACTGACCACCAATGGAAATAGTCTGGCTCCATCTTCTCTGCACCTTCCTTTCAGGCATTTATATGCATTAGTAAGATCCCTCTTGAGACTTCTCTCTTTCACTCTAAACAGTTCCAGCTCTCTCAGCCTTTCCTCATAGGAGAGGTGCTCTAGTCCCTTCATCATCCTGGTGACCTTTTGATGGACTCCCTCCAGTATGTCCAGGTCTCTCTTGTACTAGGGGGCCCGCAAGAGGACACAGCACTCCAGGTGTGGCCTCATCAGTGCTGAATACAGGGGAAGGATCACCTCCCTCAACCTGCTGGCAGTACTTTATCTAATGCAGCCCAAGATACCATTTGCCTCCTTTGCTGCAAGGGCACATTGCTGGCTCATCTTCAACTTGGTGTCCGCGAGGACCTCCAGTCCCTTTTCTGCCCAGCATGTACTGATGCAGGGGGTTGTTCCTCCCCAGGTGCAAGACTTTACACCTCTCCTTGTTGAAATTTGGGAGACTCCTGTCAGCCCATTTTTCCCGCCTCTTGAGGTCCCTCTGGATGGCAGCATGACCGTCTGGTGTATCAGCCACTTCTCCCAGTTTGGTGTCATCAGCAAACTTGCTGAGGGTGCCGTCTGCTCCATCATCCAGGTCATTAATGAAGGTGTTGAACAGGACTGGAGCCAGTATTGACTCCTGGGGTACAATGCTAGTTGCTGGCCTCCAACTAGACTTTGTGCCACTGCCCACTGTGTCTGGCTGTTCAATCCACCCTTGAATATCAATTTGTATATTTTTACTGACAGTAGAGTTAAAATACGTACTTATTTTAGAATGTGGGTCGGATTTTTTTAAGAATGCTTCCCACTCCCCCCTGAGAATAAATAGGTGGGGGCTAAGAAGCCCTCTGAATCATGTCTTGCATGCTTATCCTCTGTGAGCTTACATTCAGGTCAAATAGAAATTTAACTGACAGATTTTGTGGGTCTAGTTGTTACCCTTTAAGAAGTTACCATTTCAGCTTTCCCTTTCCAGCTTTACCTTTTTCCCTGTAAGTTAATGTCCCCTGGCTAAAATGCTCTTCCAGGAGACTGAGTGGTGGATCTGTCTGAGAGGTGGTTTAAACTATGTTTTATCTGCAGTGAGATGGAGCAGGACTGCCTGTAGTGCCCTCAGCTGTGGAGGCAGTAACTTCTTAAAACATTCTAGCCTAAGATAAGGACAGTTGGGGTGAAAATATACATTACACCTACGCTCGCCCAGCAATTTGCTGCTGGAACAGACAGGTCCATCTCATCCCTATCCTAGCCTTGTAGGCCTCCTCCATCTGCTTGAATTAGTCCTGGTACTTCTTGGAATCCATCCTGCTCTGAAAAAAAACTTGCTAATCAGCAGAAAGCTATTTGATCCAGTTTTATTTTTGCTGGATTAGTGTTCTGCTGGGCTAGCAAGCTGCGTTTGCTTGGTGCAGGATCTGACAAGTGCCAGAGGCAGTGCCAGGTGGCGGAGGAGGACAGGATGCTCTGACTGCTACATCAGCAGGTTGTTAGACTGGCTTAGCCATAACACATAGCTTTCCAACCTCAAACCCTTTCCATTTTCACTCTTCCTCCCACTTTAGATTATTTTAAACATTAATCAGCATTCTATTTTATTAACAATATTGGCTGAAAATAATGAGCTCTCACTTTAGAGGGGCACACTGAATATTTCTGTCAGCAATACTTGGTCTCTATTTAAATAAAAATTACCGTGTGACTAGGAACTCTGGCACAGCAGTAGTTATTCCTCTGTGTCACTGGGCAACTGAAATGGAAAAACTGTGGGGGGTTTTATCAGTTGTTTGGTTTTTGGTTTCTTAAGTCAGTGATGATGACTGTAAATTTGTATCTACAGTAAAACAGTTGTATATTCTGTCTGAAGTAATTTACATTAAAAAAATTAGAGATTAAAATAATTCTGCCTCCTCTGAATAGTTGGAGGTTTATTGATAAAATAAATGTGACTACTGTATGTACTGGTTGAATTTAAAGATATGACAGATGAAAGGATAGGTATGGACTGATCTCATTTCAGGCTTGACAATATTCAAAGTCCAGATTGGTAAAATAAGCATAGAAATCCTAAGCCAAGAGGATCCCACACTCTCATTTTAATCACAGAACTGCAGTGGTAGCAGTCTGACAAGGGTGGCTGAGTTATGCTCCCCTAGGCAAGTATACAATTCCCAGTGTGGTCGCTGGCCAAACTGCAGTCTTTTCTTGCTTTTTCCATTTTAACTTCTATGGGAATTCAGTTCAGAGAATTCAAGAACCCCCCAGTGTTTGTGGGTCATGTGAATAGTCATATCACTTCTTTTTAAAAACAAAACTAAATTAAATCTTGTTAACCAGATAAGTCAATGCTCAGTGTGGGCAGGTTGGGATTGTAAATAAGGTGACAGAATTAGATATTTGGTATGTCTGGTGACAGAAGTGGAACATTTATGACAACAGAAATCAGTGAACCATAGCAAATGTTGGTTTTGTAAATGTTGCTGAGAGATTTAACTGACTCTGTTCTGTGCAGCCAGTGGTAGGGGATCACTTGCTCTTTGACCAGAAACTGCATATTATAGAAGCACTCTTCTCTAGTTTTTCTGTCCTGCATTTTTAACAAAGTGCCATATACCTACTTGGAGCAATAAGGGATTATCTCATAAGCATGACTACTAACAACAGGATAAATCTTGTTTAAACTTGCTCATAACCTATTTAAATATTTTTATAAGTGCTTTTTAGCAGCTCAGGCACCCTGTCATGGCTCAAAGTGCCTACAGTGAAGCTGGAGCTGCACTGCTGCCATGAGAAGGAGGAAATGTAGCTCCTGTATTTAAAAATATTGCTGGACCTCTAGGTCATGGAGGAGGTGTGTGAGCTATCGATAAAGCATAACTACAGAATCAATAAAGAGGCTGAATTTCAAGACTGGTTTCAAAGCACAGAAACTTGAGGAAGGAGAGCCCTGGCTTAGGTCACTTGTGAAAAGCTCTACAATTATGATTAATGTCATGAGAAACTTATTTTGTGTAGGTAGCCAATAGGTCCTTGGCTTTTATGGCTTAACTTCTGGGCATTATGCTATTTGGTAAAAAAAATAGAAGAGGTATCACCTTAAGATTGGTTGAGAAGATGGAGATGGGTATTAAAAAGCTTGAAAATAAAGATACTTCAGGAACTGACTTGCCTTCAGCATCACGGAGATGAATTTTTGATGTTGTCAGAAAAGAGGAATATTCTGTTTAAGCTGAAGATATCTTCTGGTTTTGGTTTTTGGTTTTTTTTTTTTTTTTTGCATAAATTCTGTGAATTAATAAGTGTGAATGTTGGGAAATTGCACAATAGTGCAAGAATGGCAATATTGGGCTAACAATAATTACAAGCATATAAAAGACTGAGTTAATATTGTAAGTTTCATGAGGTCTTTAACAGTTTATCAGCTGTCATTGTTGGAAAGAGTATTTTCTGTCTTTTTTTCCTTATTGTTGTAGAATTGGCTAGTGAAATCTGAATGTGATGGATTCCATTTGTAATGAAGACAAAAATTCATCGTAGTAAGAAATAACTGCATCAGCCTCCAAGCGTGGAGTACTCATCATAAATGTATAAAAATAGAGAGGAAGTAAAATGTCTTCCTATTCTGAGTATGGAGATGTACTA